TGTATTGAGTACGCGATTAGTCATTTACCTTCTACTTAATATCCTTAATATCAATATAATGTTATTGCAGCAAAAGATCTATGCATCTCTTTTTTCCTCGTACGTGACAATGCCACATCATCTGGTTTTGGGGGACACTTTCTTTTAGGACAGAAGGCTGTATATTGTCCAGCTGTTTTAGGCATTCTTTGGACTTCAAAAAGTGATCTACACAGATCTAAGACTTTTACCCTGAATGATTCTTTGACATTGGCATGGACCTATTAGGAAACAGAACACAGAAGGAACAGAGTCCCCGTTTAAATTATGGCAACAGCGGTGGCAACACCATCTTTAGCAACAGACTCCGGCTGTGTTGGTGCTACGAAAGACTTGTTGGAATAGGTATACCTAGTGGAGGCGCATCTTATGCAAACCATGTGTTTTTGCTGGTAGAACTTACAGTTGAATCAGCCAAGTAAGCTATTACTGGCAAAAACATATTTATGCTGGTATAACTGCATGTACACTAGGACTTTGGTCAGTACAGCTGCTCTCCGAGTTACGAACAAATTACGGACTAACACTTGGTCCGTAACTTGAAGTGTTCGTAACTCGGATCCCATAGAGTTACATGGCAACCGTGCTGATCGTAAGTTCTTAACTCGGATCTGCTTTTACGACCACTTTGGTCATAAGTGGAGTTAGTTGTAACTCGGGGAGAGGCTGTATATACTTTGTAAAAATGTGTAGATCGCCTGATCTCTCTATTGTTTTCCATATGTGGTGGGCATTTGTAGTAATTGCTTGTGTAAGTGGAACAGGGTTAGCATTTTTACTGTAATTCCATAGTAGTGGTTTCTTTCCTGTTTTAGTTTATAAATAAGCAAACACCTGTCATGCCAATGTTTTGGAGGATTATTTTTGTTTATGGAAAGTTTTACCAGTTGTGTGCCACATGTTTACATCTTACCTTCTTGTAGGTACAGAATGGAAAGCCACTATAGGCTAAATGAAAATAGGCCACATGAGTATGGGAGGCTATCAATTACTGAATCATATGAGCAGGGTTTGACAAACGGCAGCGACATCTACTCGCCAGCCCCGCACTGTGCATGTGCAAGACCCGCATTACGCGCGTGTGTACTGCCGGTGAACGGGGTGACCGGCTGAAATCTACTCGCCATGGGCGAGTAGAAACAGCGATTTGTCGAGCCCTGCGTATGAG